ACGAACTTCAACACCTGAAAGCCCGCATAAGGGACGCTGTGGCTATGGTAACACCAAGCATGCTGGATCGTCTGGATATTTGTCGTGCCACCAAGGGATCCCACGTTGAAATTTACTGAGAAAGTTAAATATTCAGAAAAAAAAATCGATAGTTTCCCTTTGTAGTGGTGTAACCCATAAATGTGTATAATAAAAGCTTTCTGAGGTATAATTGTTTTATTTTGGATACCTTTCATCCGGACACCCTGTATATATATATGATGCCTTTATATATTTCGATAAATTAATGACCATCTTCAGAAGGCAAATATTAACACGCTGAGGAAACTACTATTACATAAATCATAGTGCATCAAGTTCAAAGTTGTCCAGAGTTTTAGATAAAGATTTTAATTAAGCTAAAACATGGTGAGTTAAAATATTAATAAACAAACAACGAAAGGACTAACAGCTTAACAACAAACACAGGCTCTTAACTATATAAAGAAGAAAAAACACTGCCCAGACCTCCAAGGGCGGCAATCTATCCAATCTTCCGTTGATGGAAGAGGCACGAAGACACGAACCTTAGCGGTTTAAGATTTTAAATATTAAGAATTTTATTACTATAACTCATCAATTTTAGCTTAATCAAAATCTTTATAAATAAAACTTTGGACAATTTTGATCTTAATGTACTATGATTTATATAACAGTAGTTTCCTCAACGTGTTGTTATTTACCTTCTGAAGATGGTCATTAATTGACCGAAACATGTAAAGGCATCATATATATATATATATATTTACGTTTAAGTCACACTGAATAGTGTAGGCGGTTAACAACTGAGATAATTTAGAGTCGAATGCTAGCATGATTATTGAACGATGAATTGAAAAGGACAAATAAGGGATCGGTTATGGTCTAATTTCAGGCACTATCATTTCATTTGCCTTGAGGTACTGAAGAAAAAACAAGGAAAACCATCAGCGAGTAGAACTGGTATTTTTTGGAAAATTCGAAACCGGCATCTCCCAGAAAACATTACCCTTCGGCAAATTTGCTCAATCTGGAGATTAGATAAACAGTTCTGTCTTCTGGGATTTAACACCATGTAGTCCGTTACAAGTCACTAGACGTTTCTAAGGAGCATGTAACCTCAGATCTGTAGAATGTCCGTTCATTTTATGAAGTTCGTAAAAAAAGCGCATACAACCGGCGGATAGCTACAAGCATATAGGAATGTTTCCTAACAACATATATGGTTTTTGCAAAACCCAGCAATTTACAATGTAACTAGAGAGGAGGGTCGTCATTGTAATATATCCCAACCTCCGTCCCTCCCAACGTTTTTCGTTTGCGAACAATCAGAGTGCGACTTCTACCCGTCAGCTGACGCGTGACGTAGCAAGGTGAACGGTCCACCCAGGCGTAGTAGCCTTCTGACCGACTAAAGAGAAGGCATAGACCTTGAAGACGCTCGTCTTCGCTTTCAGAATTGTTTCACCTCAATACTTTTACTTACAGTTACACTGACTGACACACCAAACAGTTTCAACACTAGACATACGTGACAAGTCCGTCACATCCCACTCCGTAATACCACTTATTGTTTCTTTACACACATTTCATCAATATAGTTACCAAGAGGGGCACACGGTAGCGTAGTTGGTTGAGCTACTATGCTACAAGCCAGAAGGTCGCGGCTTCGAGTCCCGATGAGGTGGATTTTGTCGATTTATCTAATTTCTCCAGCCTCAGTCTGGCCCTGGGGTCGACTCAGCCTCTAACAGAAATGAGTACCACGAATATTTCTGTGGGGTAAAGGCGGCCGGCGCGTAAGGCTGACCTTACAGCAATCTGTGAGCCGATTGTCTAGAGAACATGTGGCAGTCTCGACGTCTCACAATCCTATGGGCATTCACGGTCTATTACAGGGATAGCTTTATGTTTACCTTTCTTAAGGGTATAGCTATCCCTGTGGGAACCGGGACAGCGAGGAGCCGTAATAGCGTAGTTGGTAAAGCGCTTAGCTATGGGCTCGAGGACCGAGGGGTCGGAGTTCGAGTCCAGGTGGGGTCAAGAATTTTCTTCTCTCCATGTCGTCCAGACCGGCTCTGGGGTCCACCTAACCTCCTATCCAATGGATACCGAGGGCTATTTCCCCAGGGGTAAAACGACCGGGGCGTGAAGCTGACCACTCATCTCCAGCTAGTGCAGAGGTCAAGAAGAGGGATAATTTTACCTTTTTTTTTTACAGCTATCCCTGTAACAGGGCGTGTAGGTCCATAGGATTGTGAGACGTCGAGGCTCCCACATTGTTTCGTGTAACGTTGTAATACAAGGTAAATTTAAACAACATAGTACAGTCATATTAAACGTAATCTCGATTAACTTTACAAATATACTGACCGATTGAACACCTCCTTTTTAATTTGACTTGAATGAATTAAATGTTTTCTAACATCTTATCAAGGGGTGTTTAAATCTAAATTTATTTAGAATATACTTTTATCCATTTGTTATGTTGTTCAGTGAGAGAATATTGCCTCATTTGTTGCACGACACGTATATGATTATACGTTATGCATCTGAAGGTCGCTCTAAGCTTGTACAAGTTAATTTCCTACAATCGGTAATAACAACAGGGCGGACGAACAAATTCTTGAGGTGGGAACGACACTAGCGCCACTGCCGAAATGCGTTAACCAGGCCTGCACAAATATCTTTCAAAATATAGGGATCAGAATAAAGCACAAAAGCTGAGAAATTGGTCTTTCTGAATAACAAAAGTCAACTGAAATATCTATATATAAATAATTACCAGCACATTTCGCGCTCCAGGAAAACCAAGCGCGCCGTTGTTAGGATGTGGGGAAAGCAATGACGATAGGGTTAACAAATATAGGAGCTGGGAATGGAATATGGGAGAAAGAAGAAAAGGAGATAAAGGTAGGAAAGAAACAGAGGAGCTGATTAATTGTGGAAATTGGATAGGAATAGGATAAATAAATAACGGGACAGGAAAAACAGCAATGAGAAAGATATTCAAAGATTTTCGGAAAACGTACGGGCATTCAGAATGCCAAATTGCAAAGAATGCAGATGATGATTACAATATCAGCAGGAAGGGCAGCACCCTTCCCATATTCCTATGTTCAGTAATCCCTTTCTTTTTTATCCTAAGTTTGATATTAAAATTATTAATCATTTTTGTTGACATATACATTATTCGGGTCATCAGATACAACGAAGAATATCCTCTGAAACCATCCAGCCAACTAAATATTCTCGCATTCCCGCTCTTTTGCCTGGTTGTTATGAATTGCTGAACGGTATCATGACAAACAAACAACAAACTCCGTGGTTTTAACCCGCAAGCGAACTATACCGACCGAGCGACCGCCGCTTGTCGACGAAGTTAGTGCCAACTTCAGCGGATAGAGGGTGTCACGTGGTCAGCGCAATGAATCCAGTAAATTTTCGGTTTTATAGACCGGAGCCGCTATTTCCTTGAAATAGCTCCTCAGTTATCCTCCCGAAGCTGAGTGGACCAAGTTCCAGACTCACTACTTCTCAGAGAATCTGGTAGCGCCGAGAATCGAACCCGAACCTCTGGATCTGTAGCCAGGAACTCTGACTACTAGACCACGGAGGCGGTCAACAGTATCGTGACAGGAAAAACAAATGCGTTGTGACATAGAAACAAAAGACTTAACCACTTGTCAGTCTCAGCCACAACCCTCAAACCTACCATGACGACGGTCTGTTTGTAACCATTGTGTTGTTGGAAACATCTGAGGAGTAAGATAATGGGTAGTGCAGCACTAACTGCTGCAATAATAAGGATTTATATTTCTGAGGGCAAAGCAAATTAAAGAACACGTTACTTGTTTCCAGTTTGGGCACAAATATTCTAGCTTCTACTTATTTACGGCTGCTGGCATATAATGGAAGCTGGTTCCTCTCACTTGTCAAGTCACACACCGCATCTGCTTCTTTAATTATCGCTGTCCTGTGACTTGCGCAGTCCTGTTTCCCTACTGAAGTACTTGTGGGTATAGCCATTTGCATAGCACGTTACCTGAAGCGGTAAAGAAGTCACTTTAAAGGTTTGAGATCTCTGGTTTCTTGTGATGTTTACGCTTCACACTGTAGTTGGAGGTGACATGTTCCTCCGAAATGTCGGTTTACATTCAACAGACTAGACGGTGTTATATCCCAGAAGATAGAACCCTTCGTAACCACAGCTGTAGGCCGCGCCATAGCTAAACCGGTTAGTCGCTGGCTTCCCACCGCTGAGGCCCGGGCTCGATCCCGGTTCTGGTCAAGTGGGATTTGTGGTGGACAAAGTGGCGCTGGGGCAACTTTTCTCCGAGTACTTCGGTTTCCCCTGCCAATCTTCATTCCACAAATTGCTCCACAATCACCCTCACCTATCATCTGGGGCTGGTACACTAGGCCAGAAGTGGCCGCAGTACAAGGGACTTAGTCCCACCTCACTAGCAATAAAAAGAAAGATAGTCTTACCTTCACAGTCTGTCCTGAGGATCCATTTTAATGTGTATGATAGCATAGCTATCTCCAATCTTCACAGTGTGTCCTAAAGATCCATTTTTGTGTTTATTTCCAAGATTCAGCATATTTCTCTCCAGTCTTCACAGTATATCCGAAAGATTCATTGTAATATTTATCTCCAAGATTCAACATAGCTATCTCCAATCTTCACAGCGTGTTCTAAAGAACCATTTTAACGTTTATCTCCAAGATTCAATATAGCTACCTAACTCCCATTCTTTCAATCCCTCCTAAAGTTTTGCTTTAATGTATATCTCCAAGAATCAACAGCTTTCCACTTCCCATCTTCACAATATGTCCGGAAGTTCCATTTAATATAGACCCAGGGCATTGAACGCGGCTCAATCTATCACTATCGTGAGAGAGTTACATCCATGTCTCATGCTCACAAACCATGCCCCGGATCCAATGTAATGCTGTCCTCCTATCCTCAAGATACTTACCTGGTACACGTACATCCCCGCTGCTCTCCCATCTCTCGGCACACAGCACTGTTGCGATCGCACTATGTTCACTGCCACGGTCTCTCAGTCACTGACATCAACAGAAGAGAAAACTCACGCGAGCTTCTTCTGCTTTCTCCGCTCTCTCCTGCTCTCCCTCCAGCTGACCAACGTCGAAACAACGCTGGTGTAGGCGGGTTCGAGTCCCGCTCACCATTCTCACAGGGGGCTTATAAGGAAACCTTTCATCAAAAGTGTTCAGAATGCAAGTCAATCACGGCCACATCTACTGGTTATTAGTATTTGCCTTCATTATCATGAACTTATAAGAAGTTCTTTAAAAATACCTTGATACCTACTTTCCCTCATATGCTTCAGTCTACATGATAAAGTTATTATGAACTACAGAGTAATAGTTACCCATTTATGTACTTACATTGAAGTACCTCAGTGTAGATTTATTCTGAATGGTAAGATTTTAAATAGGCCTAGGATACTTGGATGAGTTCAAGGTCATTGTCTTTGTCGAGGCCGTACGAAGGAATGTCTCTGACAAAAGAACCAAGGATAACTGTGATGCTGTCGATACTACAATCGATAGTTCCTTAGTAACTGATTTGAATCTGGACCTCAACACATACATCCTACTGAATCTTTCACGATACCTCCTTAGTATTAAGCCGGGACATCTCAGTATATTAAGCTGCGGGCTGGAAGACCGCGGAGTGATGAGTCTCTCTTCCTCTTAAGGCCAGAGAGGCTCTGGGGCCAACCCAGCTTCCTGTACAGTGGGTATCATGGTTGTTTCCCCGGGGGGTTAAAGCGGAAGAGGCTTGAAGCTGTCTACTCACCTCCATGTTGTGCAGAGGTTAAGCATGGCGGAGCTATACATTCACCCTCCCATATATCTTCATGAAGTGGTGTTTAATTAGATGCAGGAATAAATTTACTTTTACCTTTACATTCGTAGTGAAATCCTGTGACTTTACCGTTATACCAAACTTATTTAATTATCTTTCGTTTTCTTCCTTTACAATTCTAATTTCTTCTAATTGTCCGGAAATTTTCAGCTTACAGATTACATAGATATGAACTAGGGCTTCATGCAGCTATCACTCCTGTTAGGCCGCGAGGTTACTCCCCTCTAAGAAAATAGCTACTTCCGCGGAATGTGGGAACATTGTGTGAACAATTCATTTTGTAGTTGTTAATGATATTGACACAGCTTGACCGATACACCGAAACTAGGCATGAAGGGCATATTACCATTTAACTCCATCATCAACAATAGCAACATTTCGAGTGTTATAACCGAGCGTCGACCGCCTCTGCGGTCTAGTGCCAGCGTTCCTGGCTACAGATCGAGATGCCGGGTTCTATTCCCAGCGCTACCAGATTTTCTGAGAAGTAGTGGGTCTGGAACGGAGTCCACTCAGCCTCATGAGGATAATTGAGGAGCTATTTCACGGAAACAGCGGCTCCGGTCTATAAAACCGAAATTAACGGCCGTGGGGATTCTTTGCTCTGACCACGCGACATTCTCTATCCGCTAAAGTTGGCACTAACTTCGCCGACAAGCGGCGGTCGCTCGGTCGGTATAGTTCGCTTGCAGACTACAGGCAACGGAATTTGTTTTGCTTTGTTTGTTTATGTAATGTTCGATACTTGGCCCAGAGACTAGCCATATCGACTGAAACGTTTCGCGGTTTTCTTCAGCATCTCCGATACGCTAGTATAATGCCCAACTTCCTTCCAAATCATTTCCATTTTTGTCATCACACACAATCTGTCTCTTTTTTGGAGGGTAAGTTATTTTAAGATGCTGTCAATACCAAAACTATACAGCGTGACTGATAAATTGTAAAGGGGTTGAAAGAAAGCGGTCTTGGTTTGCTAATATCCTGTTATTTGCCTTGGGGCTCTGAGGAAAAGCATGGAACTCTCGATAAGGATAGTCGGTGCCCCTGCCGAAATTCGAACCGATCGCCTCTTGGATACAAGTTTACAGTGTTGCCACTATGCGAACCAGCTAGGTAACATTCGATGCCACTTAACCTAGGCAGTTGAAAGAACTTCGTCAAATAAATTAAGAATCAGTAAGTCAATATATATATCTGACGAACACTTGAACTTGTAAGATATGAACAATACTAATTTCATTCTGTGTGTAGGTACTTGAAATTGTGTATGCCGATTTTAAAACATGGAAGGGATATTTAAGAAATATTAGTCGAAACACTTGTGATTCATGCTCGTATAACTGGAGAATAATAATAATAATATGGTCTGAGCTTGTGGAGAGAACTCATGTTACCTATGTTAGGGAGAATTATTTTTCTCTGCGAATTTACAATCTACTCACTACAGTAAGGAGCAATAAGTAAATTGGTTAAAAGTAGGAACGTGAGTAGAGAATCAACCAGCGTCGATGCTCTTAAACACAATTGATGCTAGAATTTATTGCTTAACCTAATTTTGTCTTTTCGGGAGGTCGGATGGCCACTGTCTCTTCAGTGTTAGGGACAAATGATGAACTTTTGTGGACACGGAAATGAACCCTTCAGTTCATTGAAAGATTTGATAGTATATTGTATAAATGTACAATTCACAGTTTCTCTAGAAAAAAGTAAATTTGTTCCTGTGTTTAACTAATTAAACCCTACTCCATGAAGACGTATGGTGGAGTGGATGTATAAATCCATATTTTCTTGAAGTCGGTACTAGTTGGAGGTGAGTGGTCAATTTCACGTCTCTGTCGCTTTTAAAAAATGGGAAAGAGCCCCCGGTACCCATTGGATAGGAAGATGGGTGGGCCCCAGAACCGGTGTGGACGGCGTGGAGAATAGAAAATTCTTGACCCTATCGGGACTCGAACTCCTACCACTCGGTCGTGCAGCCCATAGCTAGTCGCTATACCGACTACGCTATCCCGGCTCCCTGATTAGACGTTTATGAGAAGTGAAAATGAAATCGTCTTGTGCATAAACACGAAGTCTTCCTCAGTCGCTCCAGAAGATGTTGGGATAGTACCTTGATTGTGGCACTTACATTTCCTTGGACATCTGTTCCGATTCATTATTCTTCTGTCGCTCTTCTCAGCGCTGCTTTTTCTTAAATCTGTATGCATTACAAACAAACTAGTTTTATGCGTAGTGGAGGAAGAATTTTGTACGGCAGTTCTCTCGGGTTGTGAGCGGCCTACAAAATTCAGAGAGTTGGCAGCTATGGACATTGTCAAGTCAGTGAAAGTCTAAACATTCCAGTCTGCCGCAGGGGTGACCATCAACCCTCTCCTCAACCTTGACCCACTTTCTGATTACTTTCACTGCTCCCACCCCTAACATACAGGGGGATGTAGCCACTAAATAGCAAGGAACCGCTGGGCCAAAGCACAGGCCAGAGTTAATATCGCTAGAGGTATATACATATTAAATATTAGTTTCTGTCTAATTGAAGGGATGACGAAATTTGAAATGGGTAGTACGGCAAAGAAAGGAAGTGACCAATGTTAATTAGTCGTTCCGAATTTAATTAGCATGAAAGAGAACGCTTTCAATACTATGGCGGATGCTTTGACAAAGATTTGAAGTAGAAATCTCCATATTACATTTTCTGTAAATTGCGAACATGTATATCTTGTCTGTGGTCATATATAATTAAGTTATTTATTTATACTCCGCTCTAGAAAACCGAGATTAATGGCCGTGGGATTTTTTTTTATTGTAGAAAAAATTTTGTAAATACAAAAAAGGCCTAGGCATTGCCCATCCGGCCTTCAGTAGCACATCCTTATAAATATCTTCTTCTATAATGGCGGTTACCCAACGATTTTGAATACAGATCTTAACTTAAATCTGAGAGTATACCGTTAATAATCAGTACAATTATATATACATATATATTTTATATATATAGGAATGTTGTTTATAAAGTAACAGACGACTTGAAGAAATCCTTTTTCTTCTAGCCTTAAGAGCTCTATAACTGACTTTGAGTATATATATATATTTTTTTTTTTTGCTGTTCTCAGACAAAATCTCCATCACTGTTGCCCGTTGGTCCTCGTACGGTTTACAGTCCCAGAAGATATGTTCCTCCGTTTGCAGCCCATCACCACATTCGCATTCGGCCGCGGGAATCCGTTGCGCTGACCACGCAACCCACGCGACACTCTCTATCCGCAAATGTTGGCACTTACTTCGCCGACAAGCAGCGGTCGCTTGGTCGGTATAGTTCGCTTGCGGACTAAAGGCCACTGAGGAATTCCTATTGTGTGAATGTACGCTTATAACTCCGGGAAAGGACAAGCGTTTTCTCTGATTTACAGTGTCCAGACCAGGATGCTACAGAGTGATCTTTCTTATGGGGTAAATCGTCAGGTACATTAAGCTGATCATTCAACGTCATCTGCTGCCGAAAGTTTAAGGATGATGGAGATACACTTCCACTCCCCCATACGCCTTCATGGTCTGGTGCTCAATTAATTAAGCGTCGGATGAAGTTTACTTTATCTTTTTGCAAAGAAGTATAAGGTTTGGAAGAAAATGGGAGGAGAAAGATAACAAAAATGAAGATAAGAATTAAAGGTAGGAGACAGATAGAAATAAGGAAGGAAAGAATTTAAAGAGAAAGTATGTGTTGGCCGAGGAAACAGTGCTACCCTAGCAACTAAAAGTGCAAGTTCACCGACAGCGGATATTTGTACACGTGACTAGAATTGTATCCTGCGGAACGTGAAAGCAGTGACCAGTGACTTAGAGCAACAAAGGACAAAGATAGGATCACCTCATTCCAGGAAAGAAAGATTACAATGCAAGACACATATCACCTGGAACAATGGAATGCAGGATCGTAGGCAGATGAATAGGCAATGATTTAAGCAGCAAGTCATAATATAATGCTTTAATGGCGATTTAGACCGTTTTAACTTGGAATGTATAAAAGCAACTTAAGAGAGCAGCATGGAGCGTGCATAAACAAGTGTCCCTTCTGACTACAATTCCTAATGCTATAAGAAACGCTGGCCGGTCAATGTAGCCTAGCGGTCTAAGGCATGCACTGTCTTTGCTCGCTCGGAAGCCGGGATCGTGGGTTCGAATGGG